AAACGTCCTGATGAGGTTATTATGTAAAAGATGTGCATGACCGAAATCGGTGGTTGTTACTTTCACCGGTGAATGTTGACAATCACAAAGTCGCTTTGGTGAATGTCCGAAATATTTATTATATCTGATTTGATATTAAAATAAAATGCTTCTTTTTGGGCAACTTCATACTATCAAGATTTTGCATCAGGCTAGGTTTAAAGAATTTCGTCACAAATATACTAAATTACACAAATATACTAAATTACACAAATATACTAAATTACACAAAAGTGCAAGGGGCATAACGTCTAATGTAAAAAATCATAAAATTAGTTTCCAAATTACGTATGACTTTGCTTACGAAATAACTTTTTCTACATATTGTCGATAAAATGACCCCTGTAGACGAAATGACCTTGTCCACGAAATGATTCTGTCAATGAAATGACCCTGTCGGCGTAAACACCTTGGCAAAGATATGATCCAGTCGACGAAATGACTTGTCGAGGAAATGACCATGTTGACGAAATGGCCTGTCGACGAAATGACCATGTCGAGGAAACTGCCTGTCGACGAAATGACCTAGTCGATGAAATGGTCTGTCGATGAAGTGATTGTCGATGAAATGAATGCGTCCCGTTTTTGTTGCTTGCAAACTGTAACTTGAATTTAAAAAAAAATGCACCACTCATATTTGAAAACAAAAAAGATAAATCATAGACTAAAATAGCTGTCAAGATTCGCTATTTACTAGTGTTTGTATGTGCATTTTTTAATAAGTAGTGAATTCTACTAATGACTGCTCAAACGAAGCAACTGCAGTAGTTCTGTTACTTGATTAGATTATAATAGATAAGATAGAGGCTAAATTAGAAAAAATATGATAAGTCAGTTTCACAAAATGGAACTTATATGATAAGATTATAATCATTTGGCAGTGAGTTGGCTTAACAAAAATGGCACGTTTCATTTGAAAAAATTTCTGTGTCTGTATCTGCAATAAAATAATGCCAAGTTTTGATGACCTGCAGGCAGTGTTCGGACAAGAGCTTTTTTTTTCCCTCTTAGATCATTTTTTTTCTCGTAGATCATTTTTTTCTCTTAGATCTTTTATCTCAATATTTTTTTTCTCCTAATTTTCTGGGTACCATTTCCTAAAGTTAGTCATCATTTATAAATCTGGAAAACAACCTGCTGAAAAATAATTATTGCAGGTATTTATTACATTTAATTACTCCATAAAATTTGTAAGATGTCAATAAAATAATGCTACTCTAGTATAAAAATTCCGATAATTAAATCTTTATCATTATAAATTTTTAACAAAAATTAGCAGCTAGCTTAACTTAGTAACTCAGATTAATATTTGTTTAGCTTAGACGTTATCTGAATGCTTATAAAAAAAAAAAGCATTTTTATTTTATGCGTCTAAGCAGAAAAAAACCATCTAAAGCACAGATTTCATTTATCTAAATTTTCTCTGCTCAGAAAAAAATTGTTAATGATAATTATTAAATTCTATTAAGATTTCCTAAATTTTTGCGTTCTTTATTTAGCTTTTATAATTCGCCATAATAATTAGTGCTAATTCCCAGCTTGTCATAAAAAATATCATAAAATACAAAAAAAAAATGCTACATTTTTTAAAAATATTTATTATTAAAGTATTATTAAACAAAAACGAATTATGCTAGAGTTAGACAGCTAAAAAATAAAGTTTAAAAAAATAAAATTAGCGAAATGTTTATGAGTCATACTAAAGTATAGATAAGAATAAAATTTTGTCATAGTTTGTTACACTCGGCAGTTTGACGTACACTTACACTTGAACATATTTAGACCACAAAAATTATAACAATTACTTTATTTTTTTTAATAGTGAACACTAGGACTGGGCGATATAAGAAATTTTATATCGTGATGCATAGTCAATTTTGCATCGCGATATAGCGATGTATCGCGATATAGTATTCCTGAATTTCATTTACTTGTAAGGCACAGAAAGTCAGATTTCTATCAAAACTTCATACTCAGATTGATTTAAATCAATTTATAAATTTGAAGATATATATGTTTTGCTTAAGAAAGATATTAAATAAATTGACTAC